TCCAACTTGAGACCCAGCTGCTTGGCTAGCTCTAAGTCCACAAAACTGTCCTCTGCTCCAGAGTCAATGAGGGCAGAGAAGGGCAAGGTCTGAGTGTCAGCACAGAGTCTGGCAGGAAAGACAAAACGGCGCAAGATTGGGGCTACAATTGGTGTTGGATGTGGGCTCGTCAGGACCCCCAAATTCACTGACGAGCCCCAACGTTTGGGCGGACAGGACAACCAGCAAGGAAATGCCCCAATTTCCCACAATACAGGCACTCTCCAGACCTCAGACGTCGAAGGTGCTCCTCAGGAGATAGTCCGGCGCGTCCCAAATGCATTGCTTCCTCCTTAGCAAAGGTGGGCACGCGAGGTGGCGAGGTGAAGCCAGACGGTCTGGATACAGGAGAGCATAATTGGGTGAGTTGTTTAACTTACTGGACGTGGCAGGCAGAGGAGTAGGCAGATGGATTCTGAACAGAGAGAGCATAAGGTGAGGATTTACAGGAACACTGAGATTAAGTTTTGTTAAGAGCTAAATACCAAGACGTATTACCACTGTGGTGAGACGATGAACTGGTGAATACTGGATGACGAAAACCGGGTATATAAGCAAGTGTAGGTGAGTAGATGAATCAGAGTGACGAGCAACAGCTGAGGAGGTGAGTTGGCGGGAATCGAAAGTAGGTCAGCCACGCCCAGCCAGGAAGACAGACACACAGACAGACAACAACAAACACAAAAAAAGGGGAACATAAGGAGGCAGCACTGTAGATCCTCACATGCATCCTGTGTAGCCACAGTTAAAATACTAAAGCTAATGTTGCCATCATGGCTGCTAACGTGTTACTAACGCTATGCTTACAACTCCATTAGCCTTATAACGTGTGGAGAAAATGGTCGAATTAAAAGGGCTAAAAGTCAGTGAGGTTACTTTGAGCTAAAGCAGCAGTATTGAGCTCTGTTTCTCTGTGTTCTTGGAGCAGCTGCATTAAGAGGCACCTGCTGAATGTGTTTGTATCGATTGTATTCTGGCTTAATCGGTGGTTAGATGGGCCCACACGGCTTGTTTGGGTATGTGAAACAATAACACAGGATGTTACTGTACCCCAAGGCTTAAAATGCCCACTGAATGTCTAAAAAAAAAGGTAAATGGCACCTCTGGCACCACTGCGAAAGGTAATAGATTCAAACTGATTTTATTTGTGTTCTTTTGCCAGAAGATATAATTAAGGTTTTGAGTTGTATTTGTCGTTGTTCCTTGTAAACTACTTTACAGGTGATAGTGCCAAACATTGCCAAGCCAAGTATGATTAATATTGTTAGGTTCATTCATTACATTTCTCTCCATTCCCTTCCTCCTTTGGACATTATTTCAGCATTAATGACGAGTTATGTTGACTGATGTAGTCAACATAGTATTAAACTGTGTTTTAGTTTTAAATTAAGGCTGAGAAATACTTATAGACATATTTTTGAATTCCTAATTAAACTTGTGTAAGCTGTAGAGTCACTAATGTGGTAATGCAACAAAGAGCAGCATAGTTGTAGGAGTCTATATGTGGCTTTTCATATGCAGTTCGGAAACATTTGATGGTGTAGAATCATTTGTGTTACGGTGAGTGAAGCAAGCAGGACCCAAATGCAGATAACGCTGAAAATGCCTTTATTTCAAGGATAACATAGACAAACGGAACACTCACCGGTGAACACAGTCACCAACAAAAGACGAACCAACACTGAACACAGGAAGAGACAAGACTAAATACAGGGAGGGGTAATCACGAGACGAGAAACAGACGGGCAGAGGAGGAGAAACACAAGGGCCACAGGTGAACACAATCAGACAACTAGACACACCAGGGAAACTAACGACAGGAGGAAAAACACAGGGAAAAGGACCAGACAATAAACCAAGAGGAAAACATGACAGGGAGAACAGCAAAACACCCAAAACAAGACTGAAAAAACGTCACATAACACAATAATCGTAACAATTTGAGCTTAAACTTCCTCCAGCGATAATATAGTTTTAAGAAAGGAGTCAAACAAATAGCATTAAAATATATTTTATAGCAATGAATGCAAAACAGCAACAATATACTGTATAATACGTAGAGGTTAATGCCAGTGTCAATGTTGTCATTGTCACTTATATCATCACTATTGATTGAGTGAAAATACAATAAAACTTTAAGGTTAGCAGCATATGTTTTACACAAGATATTTGTGTTTTATTGCCAAAAATAACCAATTGATGATGAAGAGCAGGATAAAAACACATCTCATCTTGCTTTGCCCTTTACATCCTGACGACGATGCAGAAACATATTTCAGTGTGTAACACAACCTCGTAAAAATACTGCATGTGGTGTAATGACGTCACCTGCAGTCCACAGTGATGGCGGTCAAGACAAATATTTTAGAGAAACCTGCCAATCTGACAAAAACCACATCTGCATGATGCAGGATTACTGGCACCAGTTGCTTAAATACACACCGCTGGTGCGTACTCTTACGACACACACATCCAGATCTCACATACACACCACTATACTTAATTTATGATGGGGTCCTATGATTTATTTTTGTCCCTATTTGACCTCATGCACTCCTTGAATATGAAAAGTCCTCAAGGATTTGTGGTGTATGGTTGAGTCGAAGGCAAATAGGCGCACACACACATGTACACATACACACACACCCACACACACACACACACACACACACACACACACACACACACACACACACACACACACACACACACACACACACACACACACACACACACACACACACACACCACACACACTACCTCGTAGTAGTAGTAGTACGTACGTA